GAAGAAGCCATGAACTGTATAGAGTCTATGAAGACCAGATTTTTACCCAGTGAGAATGAGATGTATTTTTCCATATTATTTGGAATCACGTTAACGTCCATCTTGAACTTACCAATTTCCTGCATAATCAGATGACTATCATAACCTCTCAGGTTGTGGAAGACCACAGGTATTTTCCATGTAATTCTGTACTTCAGGTTGCATATATTATGAGCAGCTCCACGGTACATTCCTGTTACATGGTCATGATCCCTTACCCTATCCTCACCAAGGTCGTTACCACATATTGAACAGTTTCTTGCAGCCTGGAATTCGAATTCCTGTTTGGGTGTAATTACCATCTTTTTCTTGAATATGTTGTTGACCATCTCTCTACATCTGAAGAACTCTTTCAATACAGTCTTTAGGAAGACCAATGCAGCATCCTCTCCAACGTAACTCTTATACTCACCGGAGTACTTATCATCATAGTGGCAGACAGTCTTCAAACCAAAACTACAAGCCTTGTGTGTCTGGTAAAGGTCCGTACTACTTTTATCCTCAGGGTTTTCTGACTCCACTTTTCTTTCCTCTGGTACTAGTATGGACTCAAAATCAGCGTATATCACAAACGGTACAGGCATTGAGTTCCTGTGATTTTTGAACTTGATTTTTGTCCCTTCCTTGGGAAGTTTTACAGCTTGAGTTCCATTTACCTCCAGACATGTTTCCTTATGCTTCTCCAGTACCTCTTCACTCACACAACTATGAAGACAGTGTAGACAGAAGTGCTTTTTGTGTGTATATTTACTTACACTGAAGAGCATCCTGTTTACATCCTTTATAAGCACGTAATGGTTGTTACCTTTACCGTCGCCCAGGAGTAGAAGTTCCATATGATCCTCATATTTAGCCTTGGAGTTCCTTATAGGGTAGAACTGTTTATTACCATTATAACCAAACACAGATATGCTGATGCTATTTTTCCTCTCAATTTTGTCAATATCGCTGATCTTCACAGGGAAGTCTATACCGTCATAGTCCAGGTTCGTTATGAATTCCCTATCTTTCTGTGTGATAGTGGTTGCTCTTCTAGCCTTAGGATTCAGATGTCTCACATGACTCCACAGGAAACACAGGTTGTCATTGTTCTTCATATTGATGAGCCCACACATTGAATTACTAATGTCCTTAGGAAGTTCTATGTATGAACTACCCTTTAGTGGTTTGTACATTGCGATGTTCACATAATGACTCTCAATATTGAGTGTAATCCAGTTTGAACCTAAGTTTTGGAAGGTTTCAATTCTGGACAATATTGTCAGTTGGTTTTGAGCAGCTGTACTTTCAATATCCTCGAAGTTAGTTGCAGTACCAGTCTTAGATTTGAAGTAGACTGAGTCCTTCTTGGTTTTCCCGTCACCAATTTCCTTTGACATTCTCACCTTCAGAGTCTCTGTGTACTTCAACCCACCCATTCTCTTCAGCTCGTTCACAAGTATTCCTCTCACTACCTGTCTACTTGCGGTCATCTGGTCCAGGGGGTCCATATAATGAGGAGTTATCGAGTAAGTCACGGCGGCTCCATTTGCGGCTGTTTCAATTTTCCTGTGGAATGGCTTTGCAAGGTCTGTTCCGAATGGATCGATTTCATGTTCCTCTGGTGTAACCACTATAGGCTGCTCCTTGACTTCCCTCGACACTCTTACAGGCTTACGGACCTTAGGAGAAGACACTGGTTTCCTTGTCCTAGGTTTCGGTACAGGTCTTTCCTTAAGAAGCTTAGTCCTAGGTTTCGGTACAGGTCTTTCCCTAGGAAGTACCGTTCTAGGCTTGGGTATTGGTCTCCATGGAGCTACACCCTTAGGTACCTCAGGAGCTTTCCTCACAGGTCTCTTATTAAGATCCACGTGAATTGTGAACTTACCAGGACCTGTTGGGGTTATGACACTATCAGCAGGCACTGAGAGTTTTACCTTCCTTTGGCTCAGGAATCTTTCAGCTACAATTTGCCTTTTAACCTTAGCATCAGACTTTGCCTTTGGTGGTCTACCTCTCTTTTTAGGAATCTTCACTTCGGCATCAAACTTTACCTTTGGTGGCCTACCTCTCTTCTTAGGAATCTTCACTTCGGCATCAGCCTTTGCCTTTGGTGGTCTACCTCTGGGACGCCTAATCTTGGGATTCCTTTCATTTTCAATCCTCTTGATTTCCTCGTTTACTTGAGGATCATCTGTGCGCCATCTACCTCCCATTGTTGGTGGTAATCCCTGAACGCCTCTTGCTAGTAGGTTTTGGTATGCCTCCTCTACAAGTAAGGCCTTTGCCTTTTGCCTGTCAGAGCATTTCCATGTAGGCATAATTCCTCTTCTTCCCTTATAGTTCAAAGGAATGCGTCTAGGTTTCTTTACTTCCATATCGCGGTCAACTTCGTCTACGAATTGTCTTTCTCCTTCAAAGGGACTTTTGCCCTTATCATCAGGTGCAATCCTGTAGTTTCTGTCAGCCAAGATGTCTTCTACTCTTGTATCCATATCATCATCACTATCTATGATACTGTTGAGAGCCATAAGCTGTTCTACGCTGAATTCGTTCATATCGGAATAACTCGCCATATTTTTCAGATGTTCCTCTATACTATATGTGTAAAAATAAATTGGAGTATTTAATTAATAATTTATTTCAAATTTATTTTTAATTTAATTTATAGTTTAATTCTATTGATTTATTATATCGGTATATCTTTAAGTGTTTTTATTTTTAATTTAATTTATTGTTTACTTATATTAATTTATTATATTAATATTTCTTTAAGTGTTTTTATTTTTGGTTTAATTTATTGTTTAATTCTATTAACATTTCTTTAAGTGTTTTTATTTTTGATTTAATTCTATTAATTTATTATATTAATATTTCTTTAAGTGTTTTTACTTTTCCAGTCATTATAATATTCACACTTCTCAGGTTTCCATCCAAGCTCAACAAAAACTTTCCCATACAATCTATCCTCAAGGATGTCCACAATCCTTTGAGTCTTAATATCCTCAGGAGGGTTCCTCAAGGTGATGCCGTTCATGCTGGCTATCCTCAGGAGGTAAAACTTGTATCTAACTATATTACGCCCCCTTTGCAGTCTAAGTCTTTGTATACATCTTACTATGCTTCTAAACTGCTCCCTTATGATGTCCCTATCCCTAGAAGCGACATGTTCGAACAAGTGTCTCTCAAACCAACGGACTCTGTTGTGACAAGACTTCTTTTTCAGATAGTCGTTCTTGTTGTAGTTGTAGCTAACGTAGTATGAGAAGTTATTCGTATCACTAGTACCACACTGTGTGCATGTATCTGCTCCATCTATCGTTACAATAGACTTACTTCCACATTCGCTACATATTGGATCATATATGTGTTTTCTCTTTATTCTATTCTCTGCGTGCTTCCTCACAGCAGCCTCTAACTCTTCCAGTGTATTTACCCTTTTACCTACACATGCTATCTCCTCAGGTGTCACCATTTGCAACCATTCCATTTCCCTATACTATTAGTGTGAAAATTTTTTGCTGATTTTTGGGGTGTATTTAATCGCCTTCTTATTGTTCTTAGTTCCACATACTTCTTGACTGCAGCTTCTAGCTCTTCTATTGTGTCTACCCTTTTTCCCAGGGCTACCACTTCCTCAGGTGTTACCATTTGAAGCCAATCCATTCTTCTATACTATTAGTGTAAAAATTTTTTCTAGCATTTTCTATAGAATTAAATAAGCTAATCCACCCACTGCTCCACCTGTGATTAAACCAAAGATTGCCATATATTCTTCCATCTCAGAGCTAGGTTTGTAGTGATTGCTTAATTGTGGCTTCCTTGGCATAGGCTTACGTGTTAACTCATTGATTCTTCTAACGAGTTCTAATGACTGGTTCGTTGACTTAATATCCCTATTTGCGTCAGCTAGTTCTGACTTCAGTTTAGCAATCCTATTTCTCCTATCAGTGACCTCTTCGAGGTACTTCTCTCTTTCAGCTGTTAGGTTTTCCATTGCCTTGTTATGTCTATGAGCTTCCTCAGCGTATCCATTCTTGTCAAACATCTTAAACAAGTATCCTGCTCCCGCAAATGCAAATGCATTAAAGAGTCCTCCTGCTACTGCTCCCGCCATTGTATAGTTTTACCTAGGTTTTGAATGGATCATCTGGTAGATACTTCTTTTCTTTCAAGTAAGAGACCAGTAGAGATGAAAGACTAACTGAAATAGCTAACTTTGCCATTCCCTTTACATTCTCTGGGGTACCTAGGGATTCTTTCAATATTTTCTTTGATGCCATTGATATACCAACTGCTCCTGCTGTAAGTAACACTGCGTCGTATACTTCCCTAGTCATCTTTGATTCTTTACTCATCTTGCTATAATATATGGTATGTTTAATGTATCATTCAAGTGAATCTAACTTAGACTCATCAGCTTTCTTAGTTACTTCTACAGTTTTAGGGATGTACTTGGGTTCTAGTTCCTTAGTTTCCCTCTGATGTGTTTTATATGCTAGCACAAGAGATATCAATGCAATGGCCACTCCTATGTAAGTAATCATGCTGTCATTACTAGGTGACTCGTTAGGTTCAGCCAGTTTCTTTTTCCTCTCCTTTGCTATTCTACTGATTGCAGCTAGTCGTTTTCCCGCAGCTACTCTTTTTGGGTCCTTCTTCTTTTCACTCGTTACTGGTACTTGAATTTGCTCAGGTTTATCTGCCATTCTACTTGTAAGATACCTTAGGTTTAACTGGGTTTCATCTTATGAGATATCTTGAATTCTACTTGTGAGATAACTTGAATTTGCTTGCAAGATAACTTAAATCCACTGGTAAGGTAACTTAAATCTACTGGTGAGATAACTGGTGAGATAACTTAAATTTACTTGTAAGATGTCTCAAATCTACTTGGCAGTATGACGGGATTGCTTAAAAAATGCTCGACAGTGTTCGCCAAGCATTTTCTAAGTTTCATTCCTTCGCTTCCTGTTTGCAATCTAGTACTTACCTACTGTGTAACCAATTTGTCGAATTACAACTTCCTCACACTGACTGGCCTTAAGAGTCTTACACTTTATCTTAAGATTCTTTATTTCATCTAGGAATTTCTTTGTTTTGTCGACCCTAAAGTACTCCTCTATATCTAGCACTATCTTTGTGTAATCGTTAGATATAAGTGTCTGTATTTGTGATGTATCCTGGTACTCTCCTAGTCCCGGTTGGATTAGAGCTTTTGGGTGGTACCCCCTAATAAATTCTACAACAGCATAATGAAGGTCCGTCTCATTAATTAATCTCATCTGATTACAGTAAACTGGTAATTTGTATGAGCCAGTTTTACGGATAGATGGAAGGACTTCCTTGAATACCCAATCCTGAAAGTCCTCTGCTATTGGAAGCCTTGAGCTACATATTAGCTGGTACAAGCCTGGTTCGTATAGCAGGATCATTTGTGGGTGACATTTTTCGAAGAGGGGTGATTCGCCCCCCATGCGGAGCTCCTCTACGCTTACCTTATTCTGTTTCCTAACTAGTTTCTGAACTGCCTTTTTTGGATCTGCGTACCCTAGGGATTCCGCCACATCTTTTGCATAAAATAGTATTCCCTCACCCCACCTCACAGTTCTCACACTAACGTTCAATTCTGGATTCCTAAATAATTTCTCCATCTTCCCTATACTATATATGTAAAAATTTTCTAGGCTATTTTATTTATCAATTTAATCTGATTTATTTTGAAGCAGCATTCCCTCTTCCCACCCAGCTGCTCCACTAACATACATGTCCAATACTCCCGCATTTCACGACTCGTTACAAGTTGTCACGAGTCGTGAAATCCATCGCAAGGTACAAGTCGATATAACTCGTCATGAATTTACGAACTTGCTTACATGAAGTTTCCACTGCCTAGTCTTCATATGATGTTGTGCTGATGTGGTTCACGAATTTCGTGACGAGTCGTAAAAAGGCAAAAATAGTATCGGGTATCATATCTTCCCTGTCGTAATATCACAATACATATATATAGGCCTATATTGTATGATGCATGAATATTCTATACAACCGCTGTATAGAATATCACTGATATG